GCAATGAAGCACTCAGGCCTCCAAAGTCTCAGGGCCCGGGCTTCCAAGGCTTAATGTGGTGGTGCAGGCAGCTGGTGTCAGCTGCTCCCGGGGCCGCTCCAGCACGGGCTGGGGCGAGTGCGGACAAGCAGAGCCCCGGGCGGTGCAGGACGCAGCACTCACCCCAGCCCCAGCTACAGAGGCCCTGGGAGCAGCCAAGACCAGCTGCCCGCATCAGGGCATGGCACAGCCCAGGAGCAGAGGTGAGTGGCTCAGGCAGCCAGAGCTGGGTGAGCACCGCTCTATTCCCTCTGCTTTGCTGCCTTGTGCAGCACCCCTCGCCCCGCCCCTTCCCTAGGCCCAGTCCTACACTTAAACACAATTTATTTTTCCTACTCCCACTTGCATATCAGTGGATTCCAGCAGGTCCCAGCAGTATCTCACTCTTGTTGCAAGGCCCCAACTTGAGTTAAATTAATAAGGTGGAACATCAGAGTGGAAGGTGCCTAAACCTAAACCAGTTGCAGAGCGTACAGGTGTTCACTGCTGCCAGGAGTGGTTCAGGCATCCCAAGGAAAGTAACTACAAAGCAGAAGAGGGCTGGGAGGATCAGAGGGATTTGTGGGTCCAGGTGGGGGAATGCACTGGCAAAGCTGGGGAAGGCTGGTGAGGGAGCCAAAAACAACCCAGTCAGAGTTGGAGAGGTCAGAACAGCACAGCGTGGAGACTGGAGCAAGTGGCTGGGCTTTCCCAGCCCCTGGGCTGTGCTGTGAACATGGGCAGGCATTCGCTAGGTTGGGGTAACCTTTTGTAGACTGGGTTAACCTTTTATCAATCTAAAGTTAGCTCACTTCCTGAGGCAGATGCACCATATTTTGGGTAATTTAAGCACTATGAATACATGCATGGCCAGGCATTTAGATCAACCTAACTTTCGTTAGATTGAAATAAATATAACGTTTGCATATACCCTTAGTAGACTTGTTTCCTATATGAACCAGCCACTAGATGGAGGCACACACTTTCCAAGAGGGTTACAATATTATATGTTCAGTAGCACTAGAATATTGGGAGCTGAGCATAATCTGGTCATTAGAGCAGAGGTACAACAAGCAGGGTTTGCACCATGGGCAAACCCTGCAGGAGAGTGGGGCTGTGGAGACAGGGGTGGAGAGGTACTACTGGGTGTCAGGGGGCAAGGGTTCCAAGATCAAGGGAACAGTATGGGGCTGGGAGTCTTACCTTATGTCGAAGACTCAAAAACAGTCCCCAGATGCTGCTGCCACAGCTGCAGCATAGTCTGCCTGCCCCAGCTGTTGCTCTTACAGCAGCAGCACAGTATGTGGATACCCTTGCTGCTCCTGCTGCAAGGGTAACGCTGTGAGGCTGTGTGGGTGGGGGTACAATGCTGTCAACCCTAGTAAGTTGGTGCCTGGAGCTAGAATGCAGTTGGGCACTGGCCTGGCCATGCCACTGGCAGAGTTGGGGGCTGACAGGCACGTGTCCTGCCGTCCAATGTGGAAAAGATGGTCCCCTTACCCACCCTAAAACACAGGTTACAGACAACAGTCAAGAACACAACTCCTCTCTCCTCCTTTTCTGAGGTTTTAAGGGATTAATACCAGGGAGGAAGGTATTGATTCCTTGAGTTGGCTGGCCAGGAATTAGGGCTGGCAGTTTTTAAACAGGAATGAAACCTATAAGTTTCTAATTCTGCTAGACTGGCAAAGGTTGAAGGTCTCCCAGCTTGGGGCCAGGGTTGAGGTTTGTAGCCTTCTGGTCCCAGTGGAGCTGTGTGACCCAGACTGCCTGCAGCCCAGGCCCAGACGGTAAGCCTGGCTTTTCCCCCTTTGTTTTTTTTAGCAGTCCTTGACTCCAGCCAACCTGTGTGGTTGGAGCCAGCCATAGCCAGTAATCAACCTGGCTCCCTTTTGAATTTGTCCTGCAGTTTCTGTTTCAGCAGGCCATACAGCCCAGCCCAGAAGTTTTAGGGTGCATGTATGCTGGCTGGAGCCACAATCACTCCCCTCACACAGCTTCTCCAGGGGAGCAAAGATCAGGACTCTATCATTTCTTCAGAAGCAGCGAGGGATCCCTTGCACCAAAACCAATCCACTGGTCACAAGCAGCTTCCCGATGTGTGGTGAACCACATGCTCCGGCATGGACCCTGAAACTAAGTCTTTGCGGAGACACAAATCCCAGATTGGCCAAAGTCTCTCTAAAGGGGTTCAATACATAAACTGTAGTTGTAGAGATAATATTTATACTGTGTTTAAGGATTTGTTCTTTCATTTGTTTTTTTGTTTGTGATTTGGTAATAGATTTGTATTTGTTCATTTATATTGCTTACAAGAATGGAGATTTGTTCGTGTGCAACACCCCAGTCAAATTTGGTGTTCCCACATTTCTGGCTGGGGGCTCGAGCCACTGGTATAACTCATTGGGTACCCTGAAATGTGAACCCAGCCCTTCTCACTGCTGACCTGTGCCTGGCACCTGTACACATCTATATGCATATAGCATATAAAAATGTTAATATACTTTTAGGATGAAAAGTATCACTTAAATGTGGGATATTCTCCTGCAGTTGTATTTTCCTGGAGACAATACATACATAATGCAAGGTTACATCCTTTTACTCAGATGAGTTAATTTGTTTCAACTTCAGTTAGCCCCACAAGATAGCATACCATACATCTGTAAAAGCTGTTAATGCAACTTGTGATAGGTGCTTCTAGCATTGCCATCCTCACCATTATTTCTGGTCTCTAATTGTGGTAAACAAGAAATTATGCTTCAGCAGCAGTCAGTACCTCCTTGCTCCATGTAAGTCTTTCATTTGCTTCTGAATTTTTAAGTCATAATATTCAAATGCAGCTGATCCAGTTGGTGAATATCTGCATGCCGAACTTCTCACTTGAGGATGCCTCAATACAATAAACTGTTGCCTGTGCTACCTATTGCTGACATGCTTCTTTCTTTAATTTCTTCATCCTGCTGTACTACAGAGTAAACAATACTGCTAAACACTCCCTGAACTCCTCAGTATTATTCATTGCTTCATTAGCATTGTAGCAACTATTAAACAGCATTTTTTAAATGGAAGCTAACACGTGGAACTATATGGAAAATTTGAAGAGAAAGTCTCACCTTTATCATAATCATCTTCCTCTACTGCTTTTTCTTGTAGCCTCTGAAGCCTTAACATTAAGGCTTTTATCTGTCTCAAAACAGAACAAAAAGAATATATATTATTATTGTAATATCTATAAGGTATCAAGACAATCACTGTATCAGCAGTACAATATGTCCAGCTGAGCTAAATCCACCACTCATCAATGGGGGAGCCATATTCTGAAGCCAGTCTGTAACCACCCCTGCTGAAGAGGGCTTTCGTCCAGATGTGTGTAGCAAGATTTAAGACATATGGAAAACCTTTGTCTTAAATATTGAAAGGAACCAAAGTGACATACTCATGAAAAACCTCCATACCCTATTTATTACTTCAGATGCTCAACTATAAGTTACAATCATAATCCATCCCCAATTTTTGTTTACGCTCTCTGTAAGTTTGAATGCACAAATTTCTGGCAATGCAATTTTTGGTACACACATTTGCACACAGCAAATGCAAGAATTTACCCTGCAAACTCCATTTGCACCCACAAATGAATGCAAAAAAGTACCAATATACTATAAGAATGAACAAAGGACAGTGGGGAAAAATAATGTGTTCTTATTTGAGCCTGGAGTCAATTTCCTTTGAAAGGTGGCCTTCCCAGTTTAGACTGGTCCATTACATTCAGTTCTGAATTTTCAACACATCTTTCCTGTGGCAAATATTTCCAAAAGCTTCCCCCGCCACTTTGCAATCAACAGGGAATGTGTGTTGGAAAGAAACACAAATATGTACCTAAATCTTCACTTGGAAGTTTCTGCTCTAGATCCTTTTCTATCCCCATTCCTGCTTCACTTACTGCTACAGTTTTAACCAGCTGCTTCTGCACTCAGAGGGTTTCATGGCAAAGTATACTGACATCGTTTTTCTAGTACAGACCTGGCCAAAGAAACAGTACACATCCCCACACCCTGAAATTTAAGAATCCTTATATAATGTACCGTTTTTGCCTGATGCCAAGAAGAGGTCTCCCCTCCCTCACACCATCACATGGAGGGAAGCCCCTTGCCTTGCAATTGAGTATGAGGTTGGGGGGGGGGGGAAAA